CAGTAAGAATGGCACCTGTGGAACACATGGTCCCAAAGAGCACAAGCCAGCAAAACAGAGGGCAAAGGTAGATCTTTTTGGCCAACACCTCAATGACTTTTTTTCTCTGATGGATTATCACAGAAGCCAATTGCAAAAGCCATACTGCCTGGGTTCTGAAAGCTATATAAAGAGATTCTAAAAATTCTTAAATCCTGACTAAAAAAAAACCCCAAACAAACAGAAGTTGGGTTATGCTGTGAAGTTTATAGGTATGCCTTCAGGGTGTTAAAAGTGTTTTGGAATGATTGCTTGAAATGCTAGAATCTCTCTAGCTTATGGACCTTTTTTAATTATGGCGAAAATATTACTAGGATAGATGACGGTTGTAACCTGGAAGACTAGGCAGTCCTAAAGTCATTTATAGCCACCATGGCTGATCAATTTCCTGAAGTGGAGGTCACCACGTCAGGAAATATTCTCAGCTATCAAGGATGACTGCATGAGAACCCCATTGAGGCCACTTAGAGAAGGCTTTATTCCCACTGTAATTCTCTGTCATTTCGTGGTCCACTCAGTACTTACATCCTCTTTTCACCACAGGTTCCCTTATGTGCAGTGAGGGATAGTACAATTACTCAACATGTAACTAGAAATCATAAGGGAAAGTACAGACCTCCCAGAATGAAAATCCCACTGAATTTAAGATTTGAGGCAAGGAGGATTAAACCAATTTTTAAATCAAATGCCCACCATTAACCTATATGATAAACAATTGTCCTATTTACCTGCTGTCCTGCCATTCAGCTAGCATGTTTGTTACAATCCTCCTTCCTTCTATGGAAGGATCTTGATTGCATAGTCATCTAACACCATAGTTGTTTCAAGTGTGATCTATGTTTTCACTGCAGTCTCATCATTAAAATATTTGTGTTGTAAGTTCTACCCCCACTATGGTTTTCCTGAAAACAACTAAGCCTACAAAACCAGATAAAGTATCTTCTTTTCTAACCTCATTAAATTCAGCACAGTTTCGGAAAATCAGTCTGAAATCAGCCACAAAATCTTCCGGCTTTGTGTAGAATGAATTGGTGACTTCAAGTCTTTTCTTGATGGTTGACAAGTCCATAGGCTTTTTGATTATTTTGTAGTAATCAGGAACCTAAATGGAGAATAAATTTTTTTACGGAACGCAATCATGTTCGTTACTTAGTTTTATAAAGCTTTTCCTCTGAGGAAGAGGGCAAGATTTAGTCTCATTTTCAAGGTGTACAATTCTTATATGTTAGAATTGTACTTTTAACATATATGCAGACAGTTTCTGGAGTAACAGTGACGTATGCTAGTTTTGCTGGCTAAAATATACTCCTCCTAATGCTTATTTTAAAATAAAGAAAAAAAAATCCCACCTACATTGACTACCTATAATAGAGCAAATGATTTGGACATTATTTTTGGATGTAGTCAAATAAGCCACCTATTAAGTTGCACTCTGAAGACCACCATATAACAACTTTGGCAACCCACTCAAACTGAGATGGTACATGGGTTGCTTAAAATGAATTTTGGTCACAAAATACGTCCTTGGAAATGGTGGCAAATTTCAGAGATATCAATGATACTGGCACTCAAACTGTGGTTGTAGGATTAAGATTCTTTCTTTAAGAAAGAATTAGAAATTGGAAAATAAGATATGAAATCAAATTATAATATTTTTATACTTTTTTCCTAACTAGATTCACATTTTAAGAGAAATGCTATAATGCCTGAACTTAGTAATACATGACCATCATATGATTAATCAATCTCTTGTGCCATTTCTTCTTATTAAACTCTGTGGAACGTTCTTCAGAATAAGAACTCTTACTCAAATGGAATAAAAAAGGTGCATAGGAGCATATTACTTATTGATGAATTCTCTTCCCATTGACTTGGCTTGAGAAACATAACAGAGGTACTTTTCATCTGATCACGCTGGTAACTCTTCTGTGTGTCCTTGGACTTCTAATGCGCCCAGGTATTGTTTACCATTTTGAACTAATAAATTTCAAGCTAATAATAAGAAATTCACTTTCATATTAGTACCATGGAGTACCCTAATTCTCAAAACTAAGTAATTTTTAAAAAACCCAAACATATCCCAATTCACCTTTTTAGTGATACCTCTCAGCATTGTGAAATCAGCAGACAGTATTTGAACTTAGTATTTGTGTCTATCTTTGAAGTACTAAGTAAAATTGGTTCTTGGAGAATTTTACTCGTAAATCCCCTTCCAACCCAATGCTTCAACTTTTAACTCCCCTTCAGACAGTCTTAATA